AAATTTACCTTTGAACTCAATTCTTTGACAGTATTTGTTAAAATTAACTTTACCTTTAATCAAATTTTCCTGTGTAGTGCTTAATTCCCACAGGGTATTATTGTAGGTGAACCAATGTTTTGCATTTTAGGCTTTAAAAACATAAGACCAATACCAAATAGTAACCAATTGAAGTGGTTATTAAGTCTCTAATGTGTGCACAGCACCAAGCCAATGAAGCATATGGCCCACATTCTCTAGCATCTTGGATTCTATTGAGCCACACAAGGCAGTACCATTTTGCAGATCAAATGAAGAGTTTTGCATGTAGTTTTATGATGCTATATTCCTCACAACCTTCCCGTGAGCAGAATGTGAAGCATCTATTGTGTTTTGCAAGGCAGTGGAATTGGTCACTGATCTCATTGTATCAGAAATTAAATCACAAGCACAGGAACATGAATCAGTAGTAAATATGCCCATAGGCTTTAGGCTTCTATTAAGCATGTTTCCAACAAGCTGTTTTAAGGCTAAACTCCCCTCTCCTTCTGCCCTGGCCCATTGTGATATGCCCCATGGGTCCCCTTGAACGTCTGATACTCCTCATTAGCTCATGTTTGGAATCCCCTTTATATACATCCTTTCATGCTCTGGATGTTTCCCCCCTACTTTTATGTCTCAAGTTTCTGCTGTTAGTCAAACATCTCCATTAGATGAAGGAACTTAGAATGGCTGACTTAACTTTCTGTAAGTGGAGGTTCACTGGCTAGATCACATGTCTTTGGTTCATGAGTGAATCTGCATTTATCAATCTTTATTCATCTACATGTGATTTTAATTTCATCTCTAGGTATAAGGTGTATGTACTTGTGCATTACAAGTCTATGTACACAAACATGCACATATGTGATCATGAACACATATGCATGCATCTATATCCATATATCCATACAGATAAATACTCATAATGCCAATACATGGACAAACATAATATAACAATATTGTATAACATTCTGTATTTGAAATTACATTTTTAGTTATTTTGCAAAAAAATACTAAAAACCCAAATGGTCAATTGTGTGACTTTCTTCTTACATTTGACATTAAAATTGCAGTGTGTGTGTGTGTGTGTGTGTGTGTGTGTGTGTGTGTGTGTGTGTGAGAGAGAGAGAGAGAGAGAGAGAGAGAGATACGCCTATAGTTTCAGTACTTGAGAGATTGAGTCATGAGGGTCGTGAGTGAGTACAAGGCTAGCTTGTGCTACATAGCAAGACACTATCTGAAAAAAAAAGTGCATTTTTTCCCCAAGGTGTCTTTATTTAGTGTTGAATGGATAAGATTATGAGAAAGCAAGACTGTGTTACCAGCTTCTCTCCCCAACCAGGTTCTGCACATACTCTTTCTGACCTCAGGCTGCCATCTTGGATTTTCCTTCTCATCTCCTTGCCTTCCTGTCCCACTTGAAGAGATTGCACAGCTGCCTGGTAGCTCTCCAGGAAGGCAAGGTCCTGAGGTTGGATCCAGAGCTCGGCTGCATCCTGTGGCCTCAGAGGTGCTTGCTGACGGAGGAGCACTGGTGAAGGGTTTCCCACACTGCCAGCCCTGCCTGAGCCCTTGCTTCCCTCCCGTCCCTCTCCAGAGAGAGCTATTGGAATGAAAGTCAGTTGTGACGTAGCTCTCCTGATGATCTTGTCTCAAGAGGAAGAAAAGCCAGCATCCCTTGGGCATGCACATGGCCACTCTGTGCCCTCTTCTTCCTTTCATCTCCTCCTTACTTCTGTTCATATAAGTTCATAGAGCCAAGTAGCCTTCCTCAGCATTCCAAAGGTAGAGCCCTGACACCACCAGGTCCCAATATCTGGAAAGCTCTGCTCAGAGGCGGGTGTGGAATTCCCTTTGCTCCCAGCCCCTGCAGGGCTTACTGAAAAGTCAACTTCTGTTTGGGGTCTCCTCCCAATACCCTATTTCCGACACTGCACATGCCACTGTCTCGCATCTCTTCCTTTGGAACTTTTCACTGGCATCCCCTTCATTTGATTTAGATCGTGCCTTCTACACCTCTGCGTTGTGATATAAACTCGGTGAGGTTAGGGAGTATTCATTTTTCTTTGAGGTGTTGTTTCCACACCTGGAACAATACCTGACTGAGCGAATGACTAAGTAAAATCTCAAGGGGGACAGTCCAGAGAATTCCATGCCTTGGAGGCCATTGTTATGTGTGCAGTCATCATGATACACTGTTTTTGAGAAACAGTTGAGTAGACAAAAGACCTGATGTCAAAATTTTATACGCAGTGCTGAGCACAAGGGAAGAAAAAAGCGTTTCTTCTTTTTTCTTTTCTTACTTCGCTGGGGAAAGGCCAGGAGACGGGCAGCTGATAGGAAGCTCAATAAATACTTGAATCAATGTGTCAGGTGAGTTAATTCATAAGCACACTGTGGTGCAGTTATTTTCCAAATCTGTGTGTTGAGCTGCGTGTTCTGGCTCTCATCCCTCCCCATGTCCCTCTGGCGGATGCCGGGCCCGTGTAGAAGCCATTTTTCTTTCCTGTTTGTGAGAAGGCTCTCTGATCTCGAGGTTTGAACTCTTGTCAGTTCCTCCTCTTTCTTTTTCTCCTTGGCTTTCCTCTTCCTGAAACATTTGCCGAGCCACTCCCATGAGCCACTGCAGGTGTTCTCTGTAGCGGGGTAGGATGCAAGTGGGTGGGAGCGTGGAGAAGACAGTTGACTAATGGCTCCGTGGCTCCCTGGGTATATAGTAAACAAATACTGGGTGGTCGGCGCTTGAGTGGGTGTCGAGAGTGTACCGCACTATTACAAAGGAAGAAACAGCTTCTAAAACACCGAGAAGCATTTACAGGGAAGATCGCACACTTTCCAAACAAGTCACTTGAGTAGGCAGGCCCAAACCAAACTGCACGTAGGTGTCTTGTGAACGTGGCGAGGACTGCCGGATGCTAATCAGTCCCAAACTTACAGTGCCAGCGTTCAGTGTATTTTCTCTTTTATTTCTTTCTCTGGAAATCAGTATTTAAGACAGACATCAGAAAGAATCAATTATGGTGCTTTCTCTGAAGCTGCCGAGGGATGGGAGGGTGTGACTTGTAGACTGGCCTCCCTGGAAGGTCTCCATGCTTGTTATCATTACCTTGTGGTCTTTTCGTATCTCCGTTAGTTGGCTACCCTGTCTCTCACTGTGCCAGGAGCAAAGCTGACTGGCCTCCCTTAGCAAGCTGATACACTGAGAGCGTGCTTTGAGCCTGTGTGTCTTCAGACTTGTGCCCGATGCCTTGGTGAATGCTGGGAGAGTGAGGTTAGAAGGTCAAGCTCACTCAGCATTTTCTCTGCAATAAAAATATAACCATTTATTGGATCACTTATTTATGGCAATAACTAAAGTAAAGGTCTTAGGACTTAGGAATTTATGGAGAATATTAAGGAAAGTGTGGAGAGAAAATTAGATATTCCTAAGCTGAAACTGATGAATTTCCTAAAATTTTCCATTTGTTTTTAATCAAGGTTTTAAATTTTTTTTTCTTTCAAGCTCATCTGGCCAAAGAAAATCTTCCAGTAGCCTCAAGGCTAAGGATACTTGGCAGGATTGAGTTTATAAATATGGGTGCCATTCAGTGAATGGTCCCACTAAGAGAACTTTCAAACCTATTCAGAATCCACATTTGCAACAAACCCATAATAATTTAACTGTTAACTTGAGGTTTTTACTTCTGAATGCAAATCCATTGTTCTTGATTTGGGCTTAAAAAAAAGACATTAATGTGAACACGCAGTCATTAACAAAACAAGTGTTTCGCTGGTGGTACAAACTGTCACTGGACAAGTAACAGGAGATAGACTTTGTAGAGTTTATCTGTGGCTGTTCCAGCCCCCAGCTCCCTATTAGTCGGTTTCTTTTAACTTACTGGTAGTGCTGGGATTGAACCCAGGCTTTGACCTTGCTAAGGCTCCATCCCAGTCTGCTCCGCTAACACCCTTTTTTAAAAAAGACAGACTCTCACTGAGTAGGTCGGACTTATCTGGAACTCGGTCCTCCTGCCTTACCTTCTGAATGCTGAGATTACAGGATTGTGTCCCAACACACACAAGCATCTTCATAGCTCTGCACACAGCATACCAAGGGTCAGTGTGAGGAGCTTTCTAATTCTGAAGTGTGGCCTTCTTTATAAATATTTTCATAAGTATTTATCTACTCGACATCTGTCAGTGTACAGTGTAATCGTATCCATATGCTTTGCTGTATGACATAGAAGGGAATTTTGTACAGGCAGGGCTGGCTGTTGATTTGTGTCCCTCCTACTCAGGGCAGCCCAGGCTCCAAGTATTGCTTTTTCTCTGACAAGATGGGCCTTGTACTATATTTATAATATTAACTATAATATTTAATTTCCCTTTTCTACTTTTTTCTTCTTCAGTAGTGGCCATTTAAAAAGCAGCATTGATGGTGATAATAGTAACCATTGTGAAATACTTATATGTACCAGTTAGTCACACACATTTACTGGGTCATTTGATCTTTTCCCTACATTCAGTTAAATAACTTCTGTTGTTATCATCATTTAACAGATGAAACCTGAAAGGCACAGAATGGTTAGGTAGCCTCCTGAAGACCAGACAGGTCACAGGGAAAGCTTCTGGACCACAAACTGCCTGCTTAGTTCCCTCCCCACCCCCATGCCTCTCAGGATAATTCTTTCTGAGTGGTGGGCTGTGCATGGCGACATTGCCTCCAATTCCAGCAGCTTCTGGGGCCCCTGCTTATCCTGAGTGGGAGCTGTGATTCCTGTTTACCTTTCTGTGTGTGTGTGTGTGTGTGTGTGTGTGTGTATGTGTGTGTGTGTGTGTGTGTACATGTGTGTTCGTGTACATATCAATTTCCTCTTTCTTGTCAGGTCAAGTACAAAAGAGATTTTGAAGAAAGTAAAGGGAGAGGCTTCAGCATTGTCACAGACACTCCGGAGTTGCAGAGGCTGAAGAGGACCCAGGAGCAAATCAGTAATGTAGGTGCCCCTTTTCTTGATGATAGGGTGACTCTGGTATGTGTCTCTGGATGTGAATGTGAGATAAGTAAGTGTGAAGCATATCTGTTGCTGAGTGGTATTTAGTCTACTCGTAAAATATGCCAACTTCACCTATTAAATCCTTGCCCTCGGATTTCTTCACGGTTATCTACAGCCTAGCAGTTAAAATTCAGTATCTTCATCATATATTTTGAATATCTGCAAGCCTTCAAATTTGGTCAAAATTAAATGTTTATTATTAAAAATTCTAACAGTTTTTTTCCTGTAGATAACCATATAAAGTTAGTATATACTTTGAGTATATTAAAAAGAAATCTGGTATTTTCTAATTATGTGTGTACTTTACATATCTGTAAATCATAAGTTACATTTAATTTTAGAAATAAACATATGTATATGTATATGTAGTTACTTTTTACTTGGAAGCCACATCTTTTGAGTAATATATTTTCCAGAATAACAAAAATTGGGACTGGCAGAAGTCCAAGGCACGTTAGAATGTGAATTTAGTACTTACTAAAGTTAAATAAACAGTTCATTCTTAACTTTTGTAATTCATATTTGTGGTTGTATTTCTTCCAAGGTATTATATGAAATGTGTCAAAATATATTTTTCTGCAAAGGAGTAGTTTGATGTTAGATATCAGACCAGAAATCAATAGTTGTGTATGATATAGTTGTGAGCAAACATGCAAAGCTCATATTACTATTTCATGAGATTGCGGCTGTCACTTGTACAGGTATTACAAGTAGTGTATATACATACTTTGTGTATGTAGATGTTATAAGTAATATAGCTCTAATTTCTAGGAAATACATATAGTTAGCAGATGGATTTAAATTTGCTGATATTGGGCCACGATCATGAGATACATGTTCATATAGGTATATATACATATACATACTATTTGCAGCTAGAATTTAGCATGTAATTTGTGAAAACGTTATTTGTCAAAACTTCAAGAACATAAATATTTGATGTTTAAAATGTTATTTCAAGGCTGGGAAGAGGTCTTTCTTTTTATCACATTCTCTAAGGTTTATCCTGTTTGGTCTTTATGTGGACATTTTATATTAGAATTGATTTTTTCATTTAAAGAGAAGGAGTTGACTTCTAAGACCTTATGATATACATCTCTTGGTTTTTCTTATGACTCTTTGGAGTGCCAATAATGAATGAAAGATAATTACTGTCATTTTCCCCATTCATTCTTTGCTCAAATCAAAACCCATTCTTGTTTTAAAAAAATACAAACTAGGGGTGTATTTCATGGCTAGTTCTGCTCAGAGTTTTAAAATGTTATACCCACTACAGTTCTATCTCAAATGTTCAACTAGCATAGAAATGTATTTCTCAAAGAACTAAACAACTGTACTTGAGACATCCCCATGACAGCTAACATGAGGACTGCAGCTCATTCAAAGGTAAGCCTTTTCATGTATGTTCAAATTAAGCCAATGTTCATAAGTAATTAGAAAATAACTGATCATTTCACCAAACTTTATCATTAGCAGGAATATACTTTATATTCAATGCCAGAGGTCGTTTGCAGATCCATTCTTAACTATGCCAAACCCTTTATAATGCAGGTATGTATTAATCTATAATTATCATGTACATTGCAGGCTATTCAAAACAGCAATGAGATATGGCTTATGAGATGGACAATGGCCAGCTTTAAAAGCATCTAATTAAAAGCACGTCTTAAAACCACTCCCCCTTTGCATTCTCTTGGTGTTAGCAGCTGCAGTAATCACAGTGGTTGTCCTTTTAGCCTCGATGAGGCCTATCAATGGTTGCATTATAGTAGGGAAAAGATTTTACAATATTTCTGTTAAGGCCCTACTTCTGAAGAAGGGAAGCTGCAAAATATTCTGAGGTCTGGTGAATTTATTACTCATTTATAAGATGACAACTTCATGGAATTTTTCCGTTCTGTACTGGGTTTTCCATATTACTGCAGGGTCTCTTGCTGTGAAAAATCTGACTGATCTGAAAACCACCACATTGGTTATTCTAGTTCTCCAGACCACTTTCATTTAAACCCATTGAAAAGTATTTGAACAAAACCCACGCAGATAGTTTTGAGTATGGCCTGGGTTGTTTCTGTTTTGAGAGGAAGAAGTGAGCAAGTGTCTAAACTGGGAAGACTCTAGTATCTTCCTGCTAGAGATGGTTGGGTGGAGCTCACCTTGATGACAAGAAGAGATGAGGTTTGTGAGTTGAGTCTTCCGTTAGTCCCCAGGTGATGGGGAAGCTGAGTGATCATTATAACCTATATTTTTCTTTTTGATCTACTTTATAGAATATATTTCCAGTTCATTTTACCTTTGGATATTTAGTGGCTCTGTCTAAGCTGCTGTTAATCTCCTTTGGACTGAGGAAAGTATAAAGACATGAAACTGTGAATTTAATAACTCCTAGGTGTTTGGAGTAATATGTTATGGATGAGTGGGCATTTTTGATTGCTTGTATGTGTGTGTCTGTCACTGTTATGAAAAAATTTTCAGACACTCTCATGTTCATTTGTCTAGGAATTGAAGTCATTTGGAAATATCAGCTCAGTCTGCAAATGTTACAGGGGCGTGGGATACAGCAGAACCCTAAATTTCGAATTTTGAGTAATAAAAGAAGTACATGTGGGCTAGCCCTGCCTTCTTTATTTTGGTACCCATAACGACAACGTAGTGAACACAGGAGATTTATAAGTGCTGGCTTTTAAGGTGCTTCTGCCACAGTACCCAGGAGAGCTGCAGAAAGACCAAGAAAAGAGGTGGGGCTTGGAGTTTATGCACCCATAGGAAAGAAGCAGACTTGACTTTTAAAATAAAGTTCTCATTTTTTCCCGGTGATGTTCTGATGATGTCTTCATTTTAATTCAAGATGTTCATATCAGAGGAAGTTTGACTGGCTGTGTATGCTTTCGGGGCTTAGAGATTTTTTTTTTTAAGTGGGAAGTCCGGATGTTCAGCTGAAAAATCTAATAGAGGACAATGTTTACAAGTTCAGGTTTTGTTTCAGATCAATCTGCAGCAGCATGCAGCTGGGGAGCTTTGTGGAAAGTTCTGTCTTAGGATCTCAGGGTTCTACGGGTTTTCACAATTGAGTCACTCTGTTGTCATATGGCTCCTTTCACCCCCAAACCCTTACATCTCTTTACATGTTTATTAACCATAGTTTAGGAAGGTACATGTACAGAAGTGAATCGGGGAATATTGAGCCTATGGGGAACATTAAACCATATTTAATCTCATCCATATGGAGATTCTTGTTACTGCTCTAGTTTCAGGAGGTTCCCACCCTTTACCCTCTAAACAGCGTGGGTCTTCAACCGCTGAACAGGGTGGCAAGGCAGTGAGCTGCTCAGCACACACTGCAGGGACTTGGTGTGGTCTGCCATAGATAACTGATGGATTTCCCTGTGCTGTGTATGCACACATAGAGGCTGCACTTTAATTAGCTCACACAGTCTGGGGATGAATTGGGAAATAAAATGATAAAATCCAGCCCCAAGAGGTTTTTAACAGCCCTCATGACATAGATAAAAACTAGGTGTTTATTTTCTAATTGATCATAGGTGGAAGAAAAGTACCATATGAAGAGGAAAGAAAAAGAAACCAGTGAGAGAGTCCTAGGCTTTTTCAGACTGATGGAAATAGTAAGTGTACCATTATCAGATCTGCCTGTCCTCGCTGCACAGTGGGAAGAGTTTTGTGTGCCTATGTGAGTGTTCTTATACCATTGCCTACCAGACTATTTCTCTTACTCTGTGAGTGCCTATAACTTTGATTATGTACCCTATTTCCCAACTATACTTCTTTTTTTGCTACCACTTGCAAACCAGCATACCCATTCATAAGAAAAGCTTGCTTGCTTTGCAAGAAAAGCTAAGATCAAAAGCTGTCTGTAATTTGATACTGAAATGTAATTAATTCTAACTCTTTTGATATAGCCACATAAATTTTCATTGACTTAGAATGTAAAATAAATTATACACCCATTAATAAACTCACAAGGACACTGCTGATTTAGTTCCCCGGGACTTTATGAGTTAGCTTCAGAAATATTGGATTATTGGAACTAAATAATTGAATACAGTGTCTATGGACTATTAAAAGATTTGATTCAAAGTTAAGTTGAATGTGAGGGTGAGCGTGAGAGGGTAGGGGCGATTATCTAGGGATTTGGTCTCTGTTTGTAATTTAAATAAATCATTTTGACAGAGACTGACTGAAACCATGTTCAGCTGCTGACAGTGTGAAATTGAGTTGTATGGTGGACAGAAGACAAGCAGTCAAGAGAAATCCCCAAAGGTAAAATTTGTTATGTAATTGGGTCAACTCATGCATGAGAAATGCATGCTAATTGTAAACTGGTGGCAAAATTACCCTGTAGGAGGCAATTAGGTCTTATATGAATCCAAACAACTGACATGGGTAACTTGCTTTCTTTTTGTACACAGCAAACATGGCAGTGGTTTTTGAAAGGAGAGAAAGATAGAAATTAGAGAGTCATGCAGCATACAAATGGATATTTTTTGTTCATTCTCCTCCTTATATAAGAAATATAGCATGCATCATTAAGTAAAAATTTACATGAAAGCTCTCGATTTGAAGTAGTTCAGCACACACTAATTTGTAAGGAGAATGGGGTGGTATTTAGTTATGACCCATTGCTAGTTTTATTAACATAATCAATTAGTTATGAAGTTGGTGGGTAAGAACAGAGCCCTTGAAGGCGTGTAGTTTTAGAGTGAACCTCTATGCTGCTCGAACAGCCTGCGTTCTACCTCCGGTTCATCTCCACTAGTAACTCTGACGTGATCCAACGCAGCAGTGGGTCACTAGCACGCTTTCTGAAGGCAGAGATCAAGTGTGTCAAAGAAAGTAGTGGGACAACAGCACATATTTTCCTTATAATGTCTAACACATGTTCATGAATAGTTCATGCGTTTTGGAACACTTTGACACACTGTTTAATTAGACCCTCTGAACAACCTCTCTCCTCAGGGAAAGGATTTCTATAAGGAACACTTAGACCTTCCTGAGAAAAATATATGGAAAATTACCTTTTGGCCTTTTCTTTCCCATTCATGGTTTCCCTCACACCTGGCTTTGCTTTATTTTTTTCATGTAGGGCAGAACTTCAAAGGCTGATCTCTGCTTTTTATCCCCAATTTTTTAGCCACAGTCACTTAAAGAAACAAATATGTCTCAGACCAGTAATTACTTGTGCATGGCAAGAACAGGGCTTCTTGCTAAATAGCTTTGTCTCGAGGGGTGATTGGAGAAGAACCTCCACAATGCGAGCATTAGCACCTGTGACTTCTGCTTGGAGACAGAGATGAAGGGTCCAGGGATGATTTCTTGAGGTGCTGCTTTTGCGAAAGTCTGTCTCCCCGTTTCTTTTTCTTCCATCCCTCCACATCCAGCTTCTCTTCCTGCTTCACTTCTGCGGCAGCCCCATAATTGGTCGTTTCTCCTTCCAAGCTCCTCTTGCTCTTTCCGTTGTATCTTAAACACCATTGTCAGATGACTCTTTCCAAAGTATCTGCTTCACCAAGACCTTGCTGTGACCCCTTAAAAAAAACCTCCTTTGGACCTCCCCTTTGAGCAGGATGAAGTGTAATCTCCTATGCCCTTTATCGGGCTCTAGTGACCTTTTGCAATTGCCTGAACTATTTCCGGCCTTATCTTTGCTGCTTGTCAACACTGTTTGCCCATTTCTTCTATGCCTGGACTTTAATCTGTTCTGGACTTTCCTATGAGTCATTCTTCTTGTTTGGGCCAATTTGACACTGCTGGAACTGAAGTCCTGACCCCCTGACCCCAGGTGTGCACTCACCAGACAACTTGTGATCTTCCTCACCTCTGGAACAGTTCCAGTGCTCTGAGGAGGAGGTATAGTCATTTTCTACCATCATTTCACACATTATATTCCACATGTTGGTTGTAATTAGTATTTTATGTGCCTAATGGTCTTTCTTCTCTAACTTCAAGAGAGTGAGAATCATGTACTCTTTCATTTATTGTTTCACAATCTCCAAGAATGCACAGCATGACATGTTGTCTCCTTTATTCAGGACATGTCCCAGTCTATTAGTTGGATTTCTGGAGTAGAGTCTTGATTCTTCTTGCCCCATTCCAGGTTGTTCTCCACATGATTTCCTGCAAATTATTCCTAAAATGAACATTGGATTGTGTCATGGTCTCTCTTAGAATCTGGCCTTGGTTCCCTACTGCCTTCAGGATAAAACGCAAAATACTTTGCATGGAAAGTGAGACTATCCCTGGTTTAGCAAGAGCTGAAACTTGGAGCTTTGGTGGCCCTCTGAGCTCCACGGACTTGCGCTTCTGATTAGAAAGCTCATTGCCTCTGCTGGCTCAGTGGTTCCCCATTCAGTCTTGACCCTTCTTTCTATCTCGTTATTCTTGTCCTCTGCTTCCATAGGACCACTGGTGTTTTCTCCTCTGGCCCATGTTGGACTTCAGAAAGGTGTGATACAGCACAGTGCTAACCTGGAGAACAAAGGAATTGACCTCTGCCCCCATCAATTTTTGGACCAGTTTGACTTTCTACATACTTGTCAGTCCTGGCTCATAAAATCTTTCCTAAGATAAATGCCACAGTAAAGGGGAGGACTAATTCTCTCTCTGTCTCTGTCTCTCTCTCTGTCTCTGTCTGTCTGTCTGTCTCTCTCTCTCAAAATATTAAATAATTAATGTTACATCCTGGCCACAGTTTCCACTCCTTTTTCTCTTCCCAGCCCCCCCAACCCCCCTCGGTTCCCACCCCCCAATCCACTCTTTCTCCGTTTCTGTTTAGGAAAGGGCAGGCTTCCCATGAATATCAACAAAATATGGCATATCAAGTTGTAGTAAGACTAATCACCTCCCATGTTTTAAGGCTGGGCAGGGTGACCACTATGAGGAGTAGGGTCCCGAAAGCCTGTTAAAGAGTCAGAGTACAAGATCTCCAGTAGCCAGACTAGTGCTTGGTATGTAGCCCATACCCAGTAAGTGTGTATTGAATAACCAAATGAAGCAATCATCTGTAAAATAGTAATGTATTTTGAGTTTTCTTTCTCATCAAAACCCCTCTTTAGAGGGGCCTTTAGTTTTAGAAGTTACTGTGAATTTTGTCATTCTTGTTTATATTGTTTGATACTACTTACTGTGTGTGTGCGCGCCCTACTTAAATATGTGACAACTTCGATAGTTTTATTGGATGACTGTAGCAATACTTCTTCAGTAAAGTATGATCCATGGCTTCCTACTGTGTCACCTAAGAATTTAACTATATTGAAAATATAAGAACTACCTCCGTTCTAGAACATTGTAGCCAGAGTATCAAAACAAACAAACACCAACACCACCAATAAAACAAACAAACAAAAAATTCCAAAACAAAACCCACAAAAATTTACAAGAACTGCTTCAGTGGTGTACAGTTTCATAGTGCCCCGGCAAAGCACCCGCAGAAGCCATGCAAGGGAGGAAGGATTTGTTTGGTTCCAAGGAGACAACCTATCATGGTGGAGAAAGCCGAGGAGAGCGGCTGAAGCGGTAGAATATTACATCATAGGCTTCTTCAGACCATGGCAGTTCAAGGAGCAGAGAGCTCCAGTCAGACCAGAAGCATCTATCACCTTCAAGGTCTGCCCTTACCAGTGTATGTATGCCAGCTAGGCACCGTGTCCCCAGATTTCCATAACCTTCCAAAACAGCACTACCAGCTGGGGGTCAAGTATTCAAACACAGGCGCCTCAAGGTAGGAGGAACATTTCACATCCAGACCATAATGAGTTGACATCGCAAAATACCACAGGCTGAGTGCTTCAAAGAACAGGGGTTTATTTTCTCACTGGTCTAGAGCCTGGGTGTGTTAGGTAAAGGTTGAGTGGGTTGGCCACTAGTGAGGACTTTCTTCCTGACCTGTAAACTATCACTGCCTCCCCCTTGGGTCTTTCTGTGACCTTTGCTTGTATGCAGGTGTGTGTGGGGAGCTCTGAGCTCTCCTCTTCTTACAAGAGCATTGGTCCAATGAGATTAAGGCTCTCCCCTTATGACCCTCATTTTACTTTGGTTTAAGTTCTTTTATTTTTCCTTTTTTTCTTTCTTTTTTTTGGAGACAGGGTTTTTCTATGTGACAGCCCTGGAACTCTCTCTGTAGACCAGGCTGGCCTCAAACCCACAGTGATCCCCAGCCTCTGCCTCCCGAGTGCTGGCATTAAAGGTGTGTGCCACCACCACCTGATTTGTTATGAAATTTTAGAAGGCAAGCTAAAGTTCAAATTTTTTGTTGTCTTAGTTTTTGTGTTTAGTTTGGCTTGGCTTTGGATTTAGAATCAGTGTCTCTCTCTTTGTTGCTCAGGCTAATCTCAAATACCTGTGTTCAGATGATCCTCCTGCCTCACCCTCCTGAGTCACTGAGACTGTAGGCATGGTCTATTGTACTTCAATTTTATGTTTGAAACCTTTAAAACAAGTGCTTTGTCTATAAAGAATAAGTTAGAAATGGAAGTTGCCTCCATTTCTGACATGAGTGTCTTACATGAGTATGCATGTATGTGAAGTAAACTCTGGCTGTGGACATCACATTACACCAGGCCTTGTGGGTTTAGAAGAGAGAAACGAGTTCTTTTTTATGCCTTTCATTTTCACACTAGGACATATGGAGTGGACTGGTATGGCCTAAGCAAAGGTAGAGGGTCTAGTCAATGGGTTATGAAGCATCAAAAGCAAGGGAGGGTTTTGTATGTCTCATCACGTCAAAGGTTGGGGCATACGACATACACATGTCGGGGTGCGGGAGAGATCCTGTTACTCAATTGGGGGTTGGGTCAAGATTGCCAGAGGAGCTACTATATTTTCAGGCATGTCTATTTTGGGTGTCTATAAATACAAATGAGGATTTGGAAGGGAAAGCCACTTTGAGAACTTGTTAACTTAAACATTTTAAAGTGTTTCCTGTGTGTAAACCCTTAGGAGATAGGGAATATGAGAAATGAAACAGGCCTGATCCTTGGCCTCAGGAAGCTTGTAGTCTCTGAAAGGCTAAAGGTTAATTGTCATAGCAACACTTTACACTGAATTAGACAATGCATCTACCCAGCTGTGATGAATGCTTCATAGAGGGAGATAATGTGTTAAGATGAGAAGAATAACTGTCCCGTGTTTGGGAGATGAAGAAATAGAACTTTTGATCTTACTATTTAAAAATGATTTAAAAATGGTCTTACTGAGGGGTTGGGAAATAGCTCAGTAAGTAAGAATACTTCCTGTGTAAATGTGAGGACCTGAGTTCAAAAGCTCAGAACCCTTGTAAAAGCTGGGCATGGTTGAACATGGCTCTATCACTGTGGGGCAGGAGAGAGAAGAGGACTTCTGGGTCTCGCTGGCTGCCAGCCTAGCTCCAGGTTCAGTGAGACTCTGTCTCCAGGGAATGAGGTGCAGAGCAATGGTGTAGGAGCTCAAAGTCTTCCTCTGCCCTCTGCATATATGTGGGTGTGCACACCCATAAACACATATATACAGTTCACATACACATATCACACACACACACACACGCACACACGCACACGCACACACACACACGCACACACACAAGAATTTTACTGAGTGGTTTACACTGTTGTAAAGTAATAGGTGCTATTTATTTTATTTTGTTTTCTCATTTTTCTGTATCTATTTTTCCCAATTCCCCCTTTACCTGTCAGCATGGATTTCTCAAAATACTCTAAATTAAATCAAACTACCCAAATTGCTTAGCAGAAGTATAAAACAGGAAATGTAGATTTCCTCAAAAACCAAATCGTACTATCATCTATAAGATGGCACAAATGTCTAATTATGGAAAAATATTGCTCAGTTTGTTAATTTAATGATGGCTTAAAGAATATAATACATATATATATATTCACACATACAACTGTTCTAAATATACTTCATCTATGTTTGCTTTTGTGCTTATGAAAAATTTGAAAAGTCCAAGGCGTAATTATGGCTATTTTGCATTCGTCTCCTTTCCCCCTCCTGTCTGTAGAGTCATAATTTTAAATCTTGGGGTTTTCACAAGAGCACCAAGAACGTTAAGAAAGCATCTTACCCTTTAAAGACACATTTATGACTGAGCTAGCTCTCTAGGTGTAGACGCTGTGTTTCCCTGCATGCGTGGCATGTCTGTGCACCTTTGAGTGGAGAGCTGGTGCGGGAGACGTCAGCACTGGTTTGTATGGTTTGGTTTCTCTCTTCCGTGTTCTTGGCCCAGTCTGTGCTGACAACGAACCACTGGGATATCCCCTCGGTGCTTTGGGGTCTTTTCCTGCCAAATATTGTTCTCGTGCAAGATTAAATGGCTGAATCAGTGTGGCCCGAATCTTGATCCTGCTGAGAATATTAAGGCTCCCGCGGGCTGTAATACAGATTGGCTGGCGAGAGCTCTGCTGGAGAAATAAACTGAGTTTCTCTAAATGAATCTAACAACTGCTGTGAACCTTTGTGTGTCCTGCAGCATGAGTCTGTTGCTGGCAGTTAACCATTTATTGCCCTCATTTTCTCCCAAAGTTGCTCCAGTCCACCCCTGTGCATGGATTGTAAACACTTTCATAAATTTATTTCACATTCATTTTCTGCCAGATAAGCCATTTGAGACATTAAATTACTAAGTACTCTGAAGGGTAAGCCCCTATTTACTCTCTTTCTTTAAGTAGGAAAGCCATATTTTTGTGTGCTTACAGAATAAAAGGGCTGTGGTGTCACTGAGAGAATTCAGTAGGCCACGTCACCCGGTTCTTTAGAGTTGATGAACTAACGTTGAACATTTTGATCACATGCCAGTGGTCAGAAGCATATGACACACTTGGAAGGCGGCAGGACCGATACAGAAATTATTTACAGTGCTCCCAAACTTGATTCCATTACTATTGGTGTTTTTAGGGCTAGATTAAAACCAATAAAACTCTAAATTCTGCAAAGATAATGGTGCTTCAGCAAAGGCCTAAACTTAAAAGTCGTTGAGAACAATAGCAGACTCCAAAGCATGGAACACACACACACTAATGTGAAAATAAAGGTGTGTTAGGCTGTCTGTAGTCTTCTGTATACGTTTAGTGAACTCTGTTTTGGGGGCCCCTTTCCTGACTTACATACGGAGAGTGTTCTCAGTCTGCCCATGAAGCACCCATCCCATCTGCTTCCCACATTATTCCCATTTGTCTCCTGACACCTTGTGTATCTGTGTGTATATGTGTTTTGTGTGTGGGATGGTTTAGGAAAATTTGTCTGCGACTGTGGCTTGCAAATGGCTAAGCACACCACCATCATAATAAACAACTATTAAATCCACCAGTGCTGTTTTAAACGTTTGCAGATGGTGCCACAGATTATTATTACTGGGACTCTAATATATATTTTTAATTTAACATTTCTGCACGTGTGTGTGTGTGCATGTGTAGAGGTCAGAGGACAACTTCCAGGAGATAGTTCTCCCCTTCTACCTTGTGCATGCCAGGGAGCAAACTCAGATTGTCAGGCTTGTGGAAAGACCCTCTACCCACTAAGCTTTCTTCCCAGCCCTGCAATAATATTCTTAAAACAAATATTTATTTAGAATATATATATACATATATATATATAATATTTACTTATTGCTATAAGTATACAAAAAAAAACTGGCTAGGAGAAGGCTCAGAGAGGCAGAGGCAGGGACTGGAGAGGTGACTCAGGGATTAACAATGATTGTTGCTTCTACAGAGGACTGGACTTCAGTTAACAACTCCAACTTCAAAGATCCATGCCCTCATCTAGTCTTCACTGGCCTAGGAGAAAGCTCAGAGAGGCAGAGGCAGGGACTGGAGAGGCAACTCTAGTCTAGTTTGCCATTTGGTTTGGACACATGACTTTGGAGTCTCATGGGTAGACATTATTGAAGTTTGTAGTCATTCAGAAATAGACTTTGAATGTACATTCAAAGAAGGACTCAAAGTGTTAAACTGTAAATTCTCTAAAATCTCATCAATAACTCAAAAGCTGCACCTCTTCTTGTGGAAAAAAGAATACATGTGTTAATCTTAGTTAAATGCCACTGGGGTTTCTATGTCTATAATACTTGATTTCAGTCTTCTGGTACTAAGAATGTATACCTGTTTTAAACAGGAACTGTATTACACATCAAAATGGAATATAGAGACTTGTATTCAATGTGGAGTGGAAATAAAATGAGATTTGTACCTATCACCCAGCTCAATAAATAGAACATTTGAAAAGTTTTCCTTTGAGGAAAACATGAGGGCTCATCACTTGACTAGCTGCTAGCAACACAAGCTTCTTGCTTCTGTCTGCTCGTCCATCCATCCATCCATCCATCCATCCATCCATCCATCCATCCAACCATCCATGCACCCATTGACTTGATTACCTACCTAAAATAATCTGTCTATCTTCTATGTATCTATTTATCATCTATGTATCTATGTATCTATAATCTATCTGTCTGTCTGTCTGTCCATCCATCTATCTTCTATCTATCTTCATTTTGAGATAGAGTCTTTTTGTTTAGCATGTACTTACTTCAAACTCATGATCTTTTTGCCTTAGCTTCTGAAGTTCAGGGATTAACTGAACCACTATCTATGACTTCACAGGTTCCTGAAAGTAGAGATTTTCCTTGTGAGATGATGAAAAGATGTGATCACATGGAAATCCAATTCCCATGTTTGGAATAATGTATGACTTTTGGAGAAAACTTCATGACTTCTTGTACCACCAAAGTGTATACATTCTGCAAGGGTATTCAACATTTGCCTCTTCTTCCTTATTTGGCTGTGCAGAATTCAGGTATGTGCCTGTCAATCATTGTCTCTTTGACACCTCTCTCTGGACTTTAGACAGATGGGAGAGAAGATTCCTGAAGGGCTCACTGTGTGTTGGACAGTCTTTCATGTTTGTTATTTCATTTATATTATTTTTTGCATCAATGTCTATGCAGCATTTCTCTTCTAGGATTTTGCAAGCATTGTTATATGTTTTATCTGGAGTCTTGTGCCATAGGGCAAATACCAAAGATAGTGTCTTTTGCTGGTACAGAAATTAGATTATTCCTAAATGGCATTTTTGGAGGCCACATGGTGAGCTTAGGACCATATTTCAAAGTTTCAAATTTCTTAACAGTAGATACTGACTTATATCATTCACTTAGACTCTCCCTGTGAACTGTTTCCAAGTGTGCTGGGATATAGGAAGGCTTTGCATTGCCCCAGGCTTCTCCAGTGAGGTTTATTATGTGATACCATGAAAATGTTTAATCCTACCTCTCTGTCAGGATGATTCCCTTTCATGACACATTTTGTTGCAAGGTTTCTGCTCTGTGCTTAGCACCATGTGAGGGGCTGTGGATTCAAGGTCTGTACACAGTCTTCAGCCTAGATCACAGAACACAGCCTGGGACAGGGGTTAGGAGACAGACGAGACTTTAAGGATTCAGGAATGCAGAAGGCACCTACCCTTATCTGGAGTGTGGTGGTGATTATAAATCACTGACAGATGAGGTTGTGAGATGAGTTCTTAAGAAGGAGTGAGTAGAAGACGAGTTGGCGATAAGTAGAGAACAGAAAGAACTACCTACCACTCCTGTCAGGAAGGAGACTGTGTGGTATGTTTATGTGCTGCAAAGGCTGATTTTATCCTGGAGATTTGGAGGGATAACTAAAAAACAGTTTTATTAGGGGAACAAATTGAAATTTAGGATCGCTATCTATTTCAGTGTTGGGAGTACATTACCTAGGACTGTTGTAACTCGGCCCCTTATGGGCTGGATTTTGCTGTAATTGTCACCATTGAATCTTGGAATTCTTTAGGTCTGAGTGTTGAACTTGGGGTGATTATAGCCTCAGTATTTGTGAGTGTATGCTTTGGAAGCTAAAAGAAAAAATGTATTTTTTCACCTCTGTATGTTTAAGCCATGAAAAAATTTAAAAAGTAACCTGAACAATTTTATTGCATGGTTTTAGAAAATTGAGTGGCAAACGTTGAACTAAGGTATCCATACAGTATGTAATTAGGGCAATGTGTTTACTCTCTCACTGTGACACAAGTGAGGCTTAGACAGTCTCAGGTTGGCAGGTCTGAGTGTGTCAAACCACATAAATATGTATGCATGCAACATTCCATGCAGGGGCTGCATTCCTTCTCAACCAAATGTGGAGAGAAGTCTCAGTTAAGTAAAGTGTCTGAAATGTGGGCTGTTCATGTAAACCTATTATTAAGCCAGCATACAGATTAAGCTAAACTTTTGTTCTTATGGATGACATTTCTGAATTTTGGATGACAAACCACAGTGCAGTTGGCTTTGATACAGACATTAACTATCTCTTGCTTATAACACAGACCAGATACCCTAGACAGTGGCTAGCACAGGTTAACATACTGGACAGAGATGCTACAAGACACGACCCTGGGTCCTTGTTGTTACTGGGATGCTGGAAACATCTTTTCCAGTCACTTTGTGAAGATACTTCTTTTTACTTTGGATTCCTAAAGTCAGAATGTAAATAAATAAAACCCTAGTAATTGGATAGTTTCAAATAACATCACTTTGTGTGTGCAGGGACCTGTGGACCTGATCCTAGTTAAAAACAACAGCACTTAGTTTTGCCTTATAGCAAGATATAGGAAAGACTCAAGAAATAAGTTCCTACAATGTGGGGATCATGTGATAAGTTCCCAAGGCCATTCCTACTTTGAAAGGATCTATGTCAGCCAGGCATTACATCTCAATCACTATGCCCATCTCAAATGGGAATGATAATATGTGATGCTTATTTTAAGTTGGGAGGATCAACAAAAGCATGATGGGTGAAAGCTCTTTGTATGATTCAGAAGAAAGGCACTACACTGAAAATGTGAAGTTGAGCCCACTCTGTGGAGATGCTAGCATGGAGGGAAGACTGGCTTTCCTTTTCGGCCTTTTGTAATTTTATTAAAATATAATGGAGACACACACAAAAAAAGCAGTTTCTTCTGGTTGAAGAGAGCCAGGGAAATGTGTGTGCCCTGGTGGGGGAGGGGGAGAATGCATGTATGTCATCAGGCTGCACTTAGCTGTTCTTTTGAATCCTTCCAGGTCATAAATGGAGAGCAAAGTGGTGATAATAATTCCCAGGCCTCCCCAAATGCTATTTTTTGAAATGGGGGATTAATAATATGGAAAGAAAAAAATGGGATGTTTTATGAAAGGTCAAGATTTCTTAATGTTTTGTTCTTGCAAAGAATATTTGAAATGACATATAATGCTGAAAAAAGGCTAACCTCCCCTTCTTCATAAGGTGGGTGAGTGCTCAAATCTATTAACGGTGTTGAATTACAAGAAGATTTTGAAGGTTAGTATAGGGAATAATTAGAGCAGGCAAAAATGAAGCCACCACGAGCAGTAATCCTAAAGAGAATTAAAACAGGAAACACTGCATTATTTATTTGGATAGAATGGGAACTTGCCAAAGGAGAGGCAGCTGGCTTTCTCCTTTTTGGAATGTTTGTATACTAGAGAAGAAACTGTCCATCAGTTTGAAGCTCACACTTAATTGTTGCTGTGACACCAGATCAAAAAACGGTACAATGAAGTGGGAAGAGACATAGGTAACTATGTGATTCTGGACATGGAAGGCATGGGCTCTCATCACAAGCCATCTGAGCTGGGGTTCTGCCCATCCCAGCTACATCGTCACTGTGGTCCACCACGTTTTAGCTGAGACAGTTTGGCAATAGAGTGTATTTTAGAGACTGAGTTCAGTTTTTCTTTTTTTGCTCTTTGATGGAGACTGAACCTGGGCCTTCACATATCTTAAGTAAATATTCTTTTACTTAGCTAACATTCCAAGCCTTTTAAAACTTCATTTTAAGGCAAGAGCATGCCAAGCTGCTCAGACTTGAGCTTCTGAATCACTCGCCTTACCCTCCTAGGTAGCTGGGATTACAAGTGTGGACCAGCACACAAAGCCTCCACTATCGCCGTTAAGTACCTCCATCACCCTAAAATACCCAGCTTTGAACAAACCCTTCTTCATCCACTTCATCATGGTGGTTTCCACATCCATAAATGAAATGGAAATAAAATACTTACCTTGCAAGATTTTTATGACAATTAAATAGTTACTTTTAGGATATAAGTAAAAGAGTTGGCATGGTAATGCTAGTTTTGTTATTATGTAAGAAACTAAAATTGAGAAGTTTGGCATGGGAATGTTCTCAGGAGTCACTTCATTTTATATTTTCAGAAATAGCAGCAGTATTTCTGTTTTCTGAATTTATTACCATTTGCACCCATTTATTTTATTTGGATTTCCTAGGAGCAATGTTATTTTGATTATCATGGTTCTGTATTTAATATCTTCATTAAATGATGTTGTTAAGTTTTCCTAGAGGCTAGTATCCATTATAGACTTCTCACTGCTGAAAGAAGTTGATATTTTTAATGAGAATAGCATGCTGAACTAAAGCTTCTGGTGCTTTCTAGGTGAAAAAAAAATCTTATTAGTTCAGTCTGGCACAACATGTATTATTATAAGTTCACAAATAAATTGCTTCCCAGTTTATGATGAGGATCCTAAGGTTGTTTTCAGATAATACTCTAACAGTGCTTTGCATCCTTCTAAGTGTTATAATAAATATCAGGCTTATTTAAGATATAAGCAAAGAGAATCTTCATTTCTACTTTAACTTTATACTTTAATTTTAAAAGGCAATGATAGCATTTTAATTCTGCTTCTACTATATTAAAACATATAGATTCCATATTATTCTTTGCCAAAATGTTGCTCATTGGTAGAGTACTGTGTCTAGCATGATGAGCTTGCCTCTATCATCCCCAGCAGTGTCCAAACAAACACAAAGAAAAGAAATAAGCGACACACCAGGCTAGGTTTTGACTACCCAGCATTGTTACAAAGGAGATGTGATAGAGTCCATGTGATGTAAATATGTTTAGGTATCCACTGAGGTGGATGTCTGTGTCTTGGTGTCTATCATCTGTCTTTCCATGCTGTGCTTAGCTATTTTGATAAAGATCTGCTGACAGTCACGTGCAGCATTAGTGAATGTTAGTTTTAATGTGTTGGCTCACAGGTGCTGTTTGTCATATTTAGCACATTCTTGGGCAAATTCAAATTTTCTGTTGTTTTTCATCTAGAAATGAATTTGTTTTGTGATTTGCTATGGATCTCTACATAGTATATTATATACCAAACCCACATATTATAGGAGATGATAGATATTCCCATTAGGAGACTTTCAAAATACTCCCACAGTGTTGAACACTGCTTAGACCGTGGTTCCTTGACTTAGGGGTTGTGGCTTGCCATGTTTTTAACATTAGCATTAGACAGGGTACTTGGTGTTATTGGCATTAAATAAGTGTTTTAAAAGGTTAACAAAACTGTATGTGCACTTTGCTTCACTGTGTACAACCTGTGAGTTTATTTCCAGATTCATTTCCAACCAAACTCTTGTGAGGTCCTGGCCAATTTTCCACACTCCTGGATCTCCTTACCTTTCATTTTGCTCCCAATGTCTTAAATATGTGTTTATATTATGGTTTGAATCTGAAATGTCCCCCCAGAGTTCATGATTTGACTATTTGTTACTGAAATGGTTATTTTGGGGGAGGATCTGGAAATGTAGGAGGAGGGGCTAAACTGGAGAAAGTAGTTTGTTGGGATCAGCTTTAGGGTCTATTATCCCTAGTTGCCGCTTGTATTTCTCTCCTTCCTGTCTTCTATGATGGGAACAGTTGCCATCTGTCATATGCTCCTGCCACCATGATGCTGTATGCAAACACCTGAGGG